TTTGGGGGGGGGGGGGGGCACTTATTTGATTTGGGTCGGCATTTTCGGTCCACTTCGTAACGCCTACTAAATGATATGGATTATTTGTATGTGTCATTAGCATACATTGTATTTTTTTTTCATAATTAGGAGAGGCAAAAATCAAGGAGCTCACCGAGTTTACCAACTACTCCAGTGTGTAAGCAGCGCTGCGAAAATGTGGACAATCGCTGCGCTAAAGAACATTAATCAAGTTCAAATGGATGCACGCAGCGAGTTCCTTCATGTTTTACGGTTTGGTGGATAACGAAAGGCACAACTGGAAATCAGACCCAAATACCATATTCCTTGGTCACCGACCACCTCAGTTAGGTTGGATTACTTGGGCTGTTTTGTACAATCGATATATATTTTTGTAACTTCCCATATCAAGTAATTGTCCCCAGCTCCTATTCACAAAACAAACAAAAAACACACAACACTAAATTAATTATGTTAGTGGCGTAGCTATGGGGTGCGGGCCGCACCACGTGACACCATCTCAGGGGTGGGGGTGAAACTAAATTGAATATTTACACAGCAAGCACTGCTCGGTCTAACAGAATTTCATATAAAGATACCCGATCATTCGACAATTTTCCACACATGTAACCCATCCAAATGCGTGGTTTATTAAAAATTCAAAGTTGATGCGTCAGAAGTGAGATAACCCTTTAATTAGGTTAGAAAAACACCGATTTGACCATGATTCAACGCTGATTGAAGTGTTTTTGGTAACTTTCGTAAGTGACAGGAAGCTATATTTATCTAAATTCTGGGAAATAAAGCTTTCCATTGAGACCAAATGGGCGATCTAAGTATATTGAAGGGTTCAAGGGAAAAACCAGTGATGTCAGGTTTTGAGAGTTTTGAGAAAATTGAAAATAAAATTTAAAAATTACTCATGAAAGTATAAAAATATTAAAAATGTCTAAATATTTTTTTATTGACTACGCTGCTTTTTCAGTTGGGCCCGTGTGTCTTATTATTCTATTGAATGGAATGTAGCTACACGGGAGATAACTTGCAAATATCGAAAAATTGACATCACTGGTTCTTCCCTTGAACCCTTCAAACGTTCTTAAATACATTTACCTTCTGATCTTCGATTAATTTGTTTAGTTCTTGTCATTGTTATACTGTGGACTTATTTTAACCAGAAGAAATCCATCGGGGTGGGGTGGTGATACCAACCCTAGCTACGCCACTGAATTATCTCGAGACGCGGAGAATCAAGTTAAGGTTATTTTTACACAGCATAAAATATAGTCAACATTAGTGGTTGTGTTATTTTACCTTTAGAGCTTGGACATCCCTGGTATAGAAGATGTGTCCGAACTTAAGCCACTGGGCGCCTTCCACTCTATGCCTACTTCAGGAGATTCAAATAATTTAGGTACGTTTGTACCATTATTCGTCACACCATTTTAAATTCTTTCTTTGTACTCCCAAATCCATGAAGTTTGCAACTTTGTAGAATTTTATCTCGTTACACGAGACCCCCCCCCCCCCCCCCCCCCCCCCCCCCGTCTCCTTCGTTCAATGTAATTTAATGTGTTGTTGTACTGATGAAGGCATGTGCCGAACTATTTACTTGTGTATTATGTATAATTATTATGAAAGCGTAAATTATATTGTTATATAGACACAAATTGTTGGTGTCTATCTAATTCGTTCAATGAATGCGGGAGAAGGATGGATAGGGAGCTCAGGTGAGAGCTGTAGAATTTTGGGGAGGGGTGGTTCGGAAAGTTTTTTTAATAAATTTTTTGATGGCATCCATCAGTCACAATGTGACAACGGTGTAGACTTCGCAGAACGAAATCCACAAGGGCCTGGGATTATTCTTTAGGATTATAAAGCTGGTTCTTTACACAGCAAATCGCCTCTCTCCACGCCGCGGGATAACCCAAGGGAACATCATGTGGATGTTACAGCTTGGCACCAGGGACGTCGCAGGAGTTGTCGGGATGTTTTTTTTTGTACCAATGTTATCCTCCCACGAGACTCCATCTCCGGGTTTGAATTCGGAGTTTCCTTCTCTTAGGTGAGTTGCCATCCAAGGTTAACGAGTCCCATCCGGGACATTTAATTCGAATCATTTGATTACATAGCGTGCTTTTCTACTGTTCTACACATTACATTCTTTATGTAATGCATTTAAAGAAATTGTTAATTATTTAGTTCTTTTTAGTTCGTGTAAACATGTCTTTGTTAGAAAGTCTTTTTATAATTTTTTTTTTTTTTGTATTGTATGTAAAATGATCCATATAAAGGTTTCTGAGCCAGTTTTCATCACGTTAATCACTATCTAACGTTGCATCCATGGGCGCCCGCAGGGGGGGGGGGGCACCCCCCCCCCCTGGATTGTTGGGTTAAAAAAAAAAAAGAAAAAAAAAAACAAAAAATTGTATTGTATGTAAAATGATCCATATAAAGGTTTCTGAGCCAGTTTTCATCACGTTAATCACTATCTAACGTTGCATCCATGGGCGCCCGCAGGGGGGGGGGGCACTCCCCCCCCCTGGATTGATTGGATAAAAAAAAATTAGACAAAAATAGACAAAAATGTATTAAAGTAAAGAGAAAATAAAGAGAAAGTAACTAAGCTGATGCCCTGTCCGTTTGTTCACCATACAAATACAGTAAATTAAAACTACATTAAAACATTACTAAAAAATTTTTGCTCCCCCCCCCCTTTTTGGAAAGTTAATCGATTTTTTGCCCCCCTCCCCCCCGAAAGTTTTCTGCGGGCGGCCATCTTTGCATCCGTGAACTTTCCTCAACATCACGATGATTCGTACAACACAGGATGAAGACTGACGAACTCTGTCATTAAGAGTGTGTGTGTTTGATCAGGTCCCCGAGTTCATAAAAGCTACAATGTGACATGTGAACCAGTTGCTTCGTTATTCCCATAAGCTGTCGGCCTAGATGTTTGCCGACTATACGGGTAATACCCTTTTCAAAAAAAAAAAAAAAAAGTGTCTACTTCCTAGTGTAGCAATACTTCAACATTCCTCTCCAGTATTTAAAAATGTTACAGTTGCTTCGTTATTCCCAAAAGCTGTCGGCCTAGATGTTTGCCGACTATACGGGTAATACCCTTTTCAAAAAAAAAAAAAAAAGTGTCTACTTCCTAGTGTAGCAATACTTCAACATTCCTCTCCAGTATTTAAAAATGTTACAACCCCCCCTCCCCCCGGCCAGTGCCGGCCGGCCTTTAGGGTGTGCGACCTGTGCTCTCGCACAGGGCGTCGTGGCCTTAGGGGCGCCTGGGGATACCCCTTTACCAAAAACGCGCCGATAGTTCCTACCTCTGAGGTGCAGATTATAGACGACCCAAAAGGTGGTGTGGAGATGGGACAAAGCACCGTAGAAAAACTAAACCGTCTAAATGAGTGGGCATGTTAACATGCGTATGGTTAGCTACATGTATAGCGTCATATGACGTGCTCCAAAGCCTACGTCGTAATCGGAAAAAGAGCGGAGCCATACAGGGACAGGGAAGGGGGCGCCGAACGGGTGCTTCGCACAGGGCGAAAGTTTACCTAAGGCCGTCTTTGTCCCGCAGACCTAGTGTGTCAAACCCTCCTGGGTAACATTATCCATTCAAAAAAGTTCATTTTGTATTTACGATATGTGGATTATACAGGAGCGTCGTCCAGAGCTGCAGGGGGCCTCAGAAATACAAGTGGACCAAACTCCTTATGTGGAAAAATACAACAGAAAATATTTTAAATTGAAACGAAGTGGCAGAAGGCCCCCCAAAAGTTTTACGCGGTGGCTCTGGTTTGATGACAACGTTAATTAAATACGTGATTTACATTTAGCCTACGCTATAAAAACGGGTTACCTTTTAAATTGATGACGTATATTGTTATCTAACGGAGTGTTTGCAGTTACAGGTGATGCTGTTCCCAAGAAGTTGGCTGGCCTACCGATGAATTCATTCAAATGTTTTGTGTCTGCGTGTGTCTTCTCTCTCTCTCTCTCTCTCTCTCTCTCTCTCTCTCTCTCCTCTCATTCCCTCTTTAAAAGTAGTTGAGATAAAAGTGGTTGGAGAGGGAATGGTGGTGGTTGGAACTACAAGTAACATATGTCAAGTTTCTGGTTTTTTTTTTTTTTTTTTTTTTTTTTTTTTTTTTTTTTTTTTTTTTTTTTTTTTGGTTTAGTGTGAAACTGAATGATAAGATCTTCTATTATCAGCTCTCATGCCACAATTCTGTTCTAATTCCATCATGGAATACCTAAAAGCAATTTTAATTATTAACATCGAAAGAAGGGATGATAGTAATACTGACTGTCCTGTAGTAGATCGACTGTTTAGACGGGACACGTGACCTAAGTCAGTCGCAGGTAAGATCAGATTAGTCCTATATATAGACTGTTTAGAAGGGATTCGTAAGTCAGGTAAGATGAGGCCAATGTCTTCTACTTCAAGTCTTATTGATTCTTTATTTGTTTGTTTTAACCAATTAAAGACAACATAACACACATGGAGCTAAATTAGTGAATAGCAAAAACAATTTTAAAAGCCAACGCTAACATGCTATAACTATAACCTATAAGGTAGGCCTGTACGAACAATCATCAAGGCCAATGTCAATGCTGTTTCCGAAGACGCATCACTGAAGCATAGGAAAAGACTGAGTGCCCCAAGTAGATTTCTAGGTGATATTTCATTATTGAAATGAACATATTTCAATAAACAGTTTCCGGCGGAGGCCCCCGGACCCCTTTTTAGTTGGAGGGTATCCCCCTCCCCCCCCCCCAACAAAAAAAAGTCCATGAAAGTGTCCCGTTTTTTCCGGTTCATGATTCGGTCACCCTATACCATATTACTTCTCTCTCCGCTTCACGCTTATATTTTGCAATTGTATGGACATTAATTTACTGTACCTAAACTGACTGCAACAAATTTCGCCTACGTTAATATCGGATAAATCTTAGTCTTGCCTAACACTAAAAATAGAAACAACTGCTACCGTAATCGGATTCGCATTTATTCAGTCAGTTGACTTATTTGTTATTCAGTTGTATTCCTTATGATTCATCAACTAATTAATCAAACCATTGCTGACACACACGGCTAAGGGGACACTGCGTGGAAAATTAAAGGATACGCCAACAAAGGTTAACATTTAATAATGAGCTAAAACTGACACGATTAAATCCATTCAATTAATAATTAATTAAAATCAATTCTAAGAAGTCTAAGTCTAATTAGTCAATAGTCAATAGTCAATAGTAGTAATAGTCTAATGAATAATATAAATATAATTATAATGATGTAACAAAATTATCATTAATTATCCATAATGATAATAATATAGACTTAGACAGTAAAAGTAAGTAAATATTATTAATTAGTAGGCTACAATTGGCTATATTTATATGTTAATAGTATAATACTAATACTAATACCTAATTAATACTGTATAAAATACTAATAATAATAACTTTAACTTTAATTTTAATACTAATACTAATACTTATATTTATATCACTAATATTATTAATAATAAATTAATAGTATAGTATAACAGGGTATTATTTTAAAAAAAATAAATATAGTCACAGTCAGTGATTGCGAGCGTCTTTACGCTCTTAATAGTTATACTTCAGACTATAGTCTATAGAGCAGGGTTCTCAAACTCGCTGCACGCGGGCCATTTGCGGCTTGCAAGAGGATATTTTGCGGCCTGCTACTTGACAGCAAAGTTAAGTGTTAATGCGGCCTGCACGTTTTCCCCATTCTCATATCTAGTGACCCTCCGCGACAGTTTCAGTCGATTCTCACCAACTAGTCTAATTCTGATTTTCATTATGTTTGTATAGGTTTGGACGTTGATTATAATGGTAAAAACTGTTTTAAAATTGGACGTTAGGAAAAAAACATGGCCCAAGTGCGGTTTTGAGAAAACTCTCTTCGAATATTGTATATACATATATCAAAAGTTTTAAAAGTCATCAGCACAACCATAATTGTGTAAATTGTAGCAATCGGACACAGTATCAAAGAATCCCTATTAAAATTGCCACTAATGACTAGTAGTGTGTAAGAGTGACAAGTAATGGAAATTCCGAGCATGTCAGCGTGGTCACTTTCAAAATAGGGTTAGTCAAAAAGGCATTTTCTACGATAATAAAATCTATATTCATTCTCCCTACCATCGCATCTTCCTTTGCATCAATAATCCATAAAACCTGCCTGCTCCTGCCTTCTTTTTGAACAAGTTTTAGGTTTGAAATTGCAAGTGGGAATGGCCATATTTTTATTTTATGCTTTTTCGTCTTTGTTTACCAGAATCTCATTATTTTCATAGCATTTATTTGCTGAATATTTTTACTTTAGATCACCGGGCATTTTATTTTCTTACTAAGGATATATTGCTGTTAACAATGATACACAATGTGATGGCCTAGTTCTTGAAAACCCTTAATATTTTTATTTGTTATTAATAAAGGTTGAGCAGATTGTAACAGTTGTACCTTATTATTGCATTTGTAATCCCCTTTTTGTGTGTGGAATACTTGTTGCAGCCCAGTCTCACTCTGACTCTACCTCTTGAGGCCCCCGGATAATTTGAGTTTGAGACCCGTGGTATAGACTATGACAATAGTTAGTCATACTCAGATCTAAGATATGATTTTGATAAATGATTCAGACAAATCTGCACAACACACTTCAGAGGGAGTATTGGCATTCTTCTGTGTTAATTAAATTTATAATTAAAGACCATAACTCTAGAAGTTGGAGGGGATGAGCTGGTAGTGGTAGGTAGGGCAGTGTAAGTGTAGGTTAATAAGTCAAGTGATGTAAGTACTAAAAAAGGCTACTTCATAATTCATATATATATATTAGGCTTAGGAGTTTGACTTAAGTGAACTATGATAACTAGCATAACTAAACCTACACACTAAATTGACTAAAACACTAACACATTTAAATTTAAACATTTGAAATAACAGGATTTTATGTAATAATACACTGTACAGTAGTCAGTAGTTTCTGATTATTCAGAGTGTCAGTAGCATGTTCAGAGGCTAATCTTGTCACTATTGGTAGACATACAACATATACTCATTTAGATTTATAAACCACTCGGCGACTCGGTTCAAACTTCAAGTGGGGTATGGTTTTAGCAGCCTGGCAGAGTTAGTTAGTTACAGTCTATAATATAACAAATTGGTCAAATATTAATTAGGATTTAAGACTAAAGTATAAGTGAACCTACTTCAGTTTTTGTGCATATGTGACTGATTTATTATGTTAACATCACATTATCTAACTAAATGTAAAAACATATGTTTTATGCCCAGCTAGGCTTTCTTTTACTGACCATTGACAGGAGAAGGTGTGTAGTGTAAAATATGATTAGGACACTCCAAGTTTGGACAGTACAGTTAGTAGTCTATTGATACTGTTATAGCATTTTAAAACATCTGCTTAGCATATGTGGAGCAGATGCACACAATGTGTTTCTATTAATTAAAGATAATCCACAAAGCTAAGAAGCAGCGCCTGGTCTTAGTGAAAGTCTTAATATAATTCTTTAATAATGCCATGTTAAATTGTACTATGATGTATGATTGTTTGTGTAAGATATTGTGGATAACTTCTTTTTAATGCTGCCCCTGTTCTAAAAATGAATAAAATTTATATATATTTTTTTATTACTTACAGATATCAAGAAATATGGCCAGAAATTTAATTACTGTGTTTCTTTCATTGCATATGTGGTTAGTATAAATTGCAATACACACTTGATAAATAATATATTTACTTGGAAGTTTGTTATTTATTACTGTTAGACTAAGAAATGCTCAACAAATAAATGAGTAAGTGAAAATGAAGAAATGTATGCATTAAAAAAAAAGATTTTTATACATGCTGAAAATAACCTATAAACTAATAAAAATAAATTTTTAATTCCAAAAGCTTTCAACTGCCAACCTTAAAGGCCCTTGTACAAGAGGAAGAGTGGGACTACCTTGTTTTGGCTCAGTTCTGGCCATCATCTTCCTGTGTTTATTTTAAAGAGTCAGTAAGTAGGAACAAAAGATATCTTCATTTAGCAAATTTCTGCATTTTAAGGCGTCAAAATTAAGAACCACACATTTATATATAATAAAGTGTAAAATCACTGCTAAAATTAAATAAGAAGTTTTTTTAAAAGCCAATATTTCCTCTAACATTTATTAAACAACTTAACATTTCTTGAGAGTTTAAGAATTTAAACTATTTATGTTTGAAATGTCAAGACTACTGCTTTATTACTTGTCATAATATTAAGTTCTTGTAAATATATGTGTTATGCACAACAATGACATGTGTTATGCACAAAAATCACAATGATGTGTGAGGCAAAACAATCACGATGAAATGTATTATCGTATTATGCACAAAAATCACAATGACATGTGTGAAGCATAACAATCACAATGACACATGTGAGGCAAAATAAAAAAAAATCAATTTCAGATTGATTAGGACACAACTGATAAAAAAACCCTCTCATTCATAAAAAAAAAAAATATCCAAAGAAATAATTATTGACAGTGTTATGAAGCCTTTTTAAATGAAAGCTCAAAAAACTTGCTAGCTACAAAAATTGATGAATAAAATAAATTAGACGGGGTTAATCAAAGCTTATCAAGTATATTAAAAACACAATCAGCAAATTTTCAACAGGACTAATTATAATATAGCTTAACTTACCCTGGAATCAAACTGAATAATGTTTAGGCTTAAGGCAGTCAGCTGAGAATGTATATAAATAGGATGATGATAAAACCTATATGAATGTTAAAGTTAATAATACTGTTAGTACAAACAATTAAAATTTTGAGGTGGTCACAAGGCCCCAGCACACACAGATAAACAATATATACGATCTTCATGACTTTAGTAAGAAATATTGAATCAGATGTAGAACAAAGCCAATTATGTGTATGTTGACCACAAAGGATTTCATGCATTAGAAAATGGCACATATTGGTCCAACAAGCTGATGTGATTTATGCATGATGAAATATCAACTTCTAAGGGGGTCAATGTTGTAAAGCTTTCCTTATGTGATCATTGTTGTGGTCCTGCTGTAAAGTAATTTTATGCCCGATTTCTTCCAGGATTGTGTCCCACCTCAAGTTCACAACTGGACTATCCATGGCTTGTGGTGAGTCAATCATCTCTCTATTCTTATGTGATGCCAGTTGTCAATCAGCTCTCTATACTTTGGTGATGTCATTAGTCACTCAGCTCTCTATACTTTTGTGATGTCAGTTGTCAATCAGCTCTCTATACTTTTGGGATGTCAATCAGCTCTCTATACTTATTTGATTTTAGCAGTGAATCATCTGTCTATACTAAGGTGATGTCAGTCGTCTATTTGTGTATTTTGTATTATTTTAAATTAAAATTGACACTCCAAGGACCATTGGTAACATTCAAATTTGTGTATATTTTAACATTATTAACATTAAAGGTAAAGTGCAGGGAGGAATGTAAACAAATGAACAGCTTTCATTTCATAAAATCACTTTAAAAATTCAAAATGAAATACACAAAGCACACGTCTGTCAATTGTTAGATGTTAAATATCTGATTTTAGTTGCTGGAGTATTCTTTCAGTTTAACATTTCTAAAACATCAGCATGTTCTCATCAAAATGTATGCTTAGAAATGTAAACAAGATTTTGTTTGTTTTATTTTCTTTTGCTCCTTGCCCTGCCTCATTCTCTGTTTCGGATTGATCCTGATAGTATAGTGTCCTCGTTTTATAGCCATTTTCATTGTTTCTATAGCATAGTAGTTACTATCCTAGTGTCTCATTTTTATTTTACTTAGTTTACATGTTTTTAATAATTGTAAAGCGCTTAGAGCTTTATGGTAAGCGCTATATAAAAATGCCTAAATAAATAAATAAATAAATAGAAAATAACAATCTAGTTTTAAATCTTGATTTCAACCCTTCTTATGATTAGATATGTCATAAAGAATTTGTAACACTGTGTGACGGCGTGTGACTCTTTGTCTAAAAAGCTTCATGTCTGAAGCGCTTCATCTAATGTGCCTTACTGATATTGCAGGCCATCAGACCGCGCCACGTCGAAGCAGCCAGAAAACTGTAACAAATCAATGAATTTTAATTATGATGAAATTAAGGTAAGGCAACAACATCATTAACTCTGTGTTAAAAATATTTTTTTTGGGGTTGTTTTTTAAAGGATGATTTTGAAACAGTTTAGTAGCATGAGATGAAATCTATCACTATCAGCATCTAAAAGTACTTAAACCTAAGTCTAAATATCCTCATTCAAGAGGCTGAATCTGGGAGCCAGCAGTCATCACAAGATAACTTGTATATAAATCTACTTGAGAAAGAGTGACCCCTATGTCCAGATAACGTGATGTCCAACCCGTACAAGTATTACAAATGACAGATAATGAGCTTATCCCCTCACAATCTCCCAACAAACACGACAGATGTAGTGACTTGTCATTATTATCAGCCTCGATGCCATCACAATCTCACAACACTCAATGGTGTAGGCCACACACGGCAGATGTAGTGACTTGTCAATATTATCTGCCTCGATGCCATGAGGCCATCCTTAATGATGCAATCCTAAAACTTACTTAGGATAAACAGTTGATCAAAAAACACTGTACACTGTCTGTGACAATCCTTAAGATGAGAGCATAAATCTTTGACATAATACTATCCAGAAATCCTTAAAATCTCAGTGATACAGTTCTGTCACTCACAAATTCTCTAAGGCACAACCCTATCACACTAACATGTATCACTTTCCATGGCACACTCCTATCCCACTAACACACATAACTCTCTATGGCACACTCCTATCCCACTAACACACATAACTCTCTATGGCACACTCCTATCCCACTACCACACATAACTCTCTATGGCACACTCCTATCCCACTATCCCACTAACACACATAACTCTCTATGGCACACTCCTATCCCACTATCCCACTAACACACATAACTCTCTATGGCACACTCCTATCCCACTAACACACATAACTCTCTATGGCACACTCCTATCCCACTATCCCACTAACACACATAACTCTCTATGGCACACTCATATCCCACTATCCCACTAACACACATAACTCTCTATGGCACACTCCTATCCCACTAACACACATAACTATATGGCACACTCCTATCACACTAACACACATAACTCTATATGGCACACTCCTATCCCACTAACACACATAACTATATGGCACACTCCTATCCCACTTACACACATAACTCTATATGGCACACTCCTATCCCACTAACACACATAACTCTATATGGCACACTCCTATCCCACTAACACACATAACTATATGGCACACTCTTATCACACTAACACACATAACTCTATATGGCACACTCCTATCCCACTAACACACATAACTATATGGCACACTCCTATCACACTAACACACATAACTCTATGGCACACTCCTATCACACTACCACACATGCTCTCTATCACACCATCTTTGACACAAGCCTACCATACAAACACACACAAACTTATAACTATCATACAACACAAAATACATGTTGTTCTAACTACCCAATCACACTAACTCCCTCACACAAATTTTTTTTTTTTCCTCAAATGTTGTTTCATTCATTTATGATGGGGAATTAACAGAATTAAGGCGGCATTTGAATTCTTGATAAAACTTGAATAAAACAAATAAACATCATGCTATCAACACCCCCAATAAAGCATATTTACAAGCCTGCACCTCTTCTGTCTTAGCTATGCGATTGGGAATGATAAAACAGGCAATCATTTGTTATCTCAGCATCACTTACTTACTTAATAATATTATATTTTGAAATAGTAGGCCTAAACTGTTGAGTTTTCTAAAGAAGTTGTAATTTCTCTACTAAATCCATCTGTTATGTTTGCATGTATCATGGCAGCCACTGAGACCTGACTTAGACTTGTACTGGCCATATTTTAACAAATCTTCTAAAGACAGGACATCTCTCTGGTCAGTTTTCACATATAATTTTGTTGTTGTTCTTGCATCTTATTAATAATGTATATGTATATATAATAAATAATACATTTTCAAATTAAGGAAACACGTTTTGAGGCACATGTAATAATTTTTAAAATTATTTTCTAAAAATTATTTTCTAAAAATTAAGATTTAAAAAATAAATGTACCCAATAGATATTCGGATACTGTACCATCAGTGGTGTAGCTACTGTGGTGCCATCCAGGCACCATCAGTGGCATAGCTAGGGTGGTGCCATCTAGGACAGGCCAATCTTTTGGCTGCCCCCTTCAATGAAAAAGAAACTTTACAGTAGGTGATGAATGCCCCACCATATTAAAAAAAAATACAGCCAGGGTGGACTTCACCCCTCTTCCTATGCCACTGAGTACCATCAGTTATAATTATTCTCTTACTTTATCCCACCCCCTCCCCCAATTTATTGCCCCAGATACACCCTTCCTATGCTACTGTGTACCATAAGTTATAATGCATACTCTTACCTTATCCCATCCCCCTTCAGACACACTTTATTGCCCCAGATACACCTGGGGGGGGGCGGTTATACTAATGTGTAAGAAAAACAATAGAATAGTCTTTACTAATTTTTGATTGAATCAATACATTCAGGGCTCACGAGTGGGACAAACACGGAACCTGTGCCTACAGCTTACCAACGCTTAGAGGAGAGTTTGTGTACTTCACCCAAGTGCTTAAACTTTATCACCAGCAGGATTTAATTGGGTTAGTTTTACCTGAATGTTCTTATCTTAAAATTTGCCAATAATTGCTTATTATGTGAGAAATGGAAGATGTTTGCCTGTCTGATAAGACTTGAACAAAGTAAGACAACGTAAGACATGAGATGGGTCAAGGACTTAATGGGTTATTTTTAGACCTGTAATTGTAATCTTTCGCTTAACACAACCAAGGACAAAAGTGTCTGTTTTAAGATGAGCATGCATAGAATTGAATTGATTTATGTGTAACATTGCAGTATGCAAAGAAGTGAATACAAGGGACATTATACAAGGTTTATTATGGCTCTTTTGCTTTGTAACCATGTTATTTTGTGTGAAACCAAATTGGCAGAGTTCATCTGACCCCAGCATGCTGTTTGCATTTTGGTTTCATGTCCAGTGTTCCAGTTAATCCCATAGATGGTGTGAACATCTGCTTATGTTCACCTTTAAGGTCATGCCCTAAATGCATCTATGTGTTGTATTTTCAGAGCTTTAGCCAAAGCCAACATTGTGCCTTCAGACTCAAAGCAATACAACGTAAGCAAAGAGTTTAACACTAAAATAACACAGAGTAAAATCCAATACTATATCTGCACTATCACCATTTCATTTTTTAGTTTCAAGTAAACCATTCTAGTGGCAAATTAAAATTAACAAACTTTCACTTGGGGGTAACTTAAAATACTATGCCATTTGTGGCGAAGTTTGTAAAAATTTGTGTTTATTTGTTAAAAATTATAATTTTTAAATTTTTATATAAACCAGTATTTATATATAATATATACCATTATTTACACACACACTAGCCTGTAGGCCTATATTCAGTGTTATTACACACTAGCCTGTATATTCAGTGTTATTACACACTAGCTTGTATATTCAGTGTTATTTCAAACTAGCCAGTAGGCCCCTATATTCAGTGTTATTTCAAACTAGCCAGTATATTCAGTGTTATTACACACTAGCCAGTAAATTCAGTTAGCCTGTATATTCAGTGTTATTACACACTAGCCAGTATATTCAGTGTTATTACACACTAGCCTGTATATTCAGTGCTATTACACACTAGCCTGTATATTCAGTGCTATTACACACTAGCCTGTATATTCAGTGTTATTTCAAACTAGCCAGTATATTCAGTGTTATTTCAAACTAGCCAGTATATTCAGTGTTATTACACACTAGCCTGTATATTCAGTGCTATTACACACTAGCCTGTATATTCAGTGTTATTACACACTAGCCAGTATATTCAGTGTTATTACACACTAGCCTGTATATTCAGTGTTATTACACACTAGCCTGTATATTCAGTGCTATTACACACTAGCCTGTATATTCAGTGTTATTTCAAACTAGCCTGTATATTCAGTGTTATTTCAAACTAGCCAGTATATTCAGTGTTATTTCAAACTAGCCAGTATATTCAGTGTTATTACACACTAGCCTGTATATTCAGTGTCATTACACACTAGCCTGTATATTCAGTGTTATTACACACTAGCCAGTATATTCAGTGTTATTACACACTAGCCAGTATATTCAGTGTTATTACACACTAGCCTGTATATTCAGTGTTATTACACACTAGCCTGTATATTCAGTGTTATTACACACTAGCCTGTATATTCAGTGTTATTACACACTAGCCTGTATATTCAGTGTTATTACACACTATCCAGTATGTTCAGTGTTACACTAGATTGCATTTGGAAAAAACAACTTAGAAAGCTTTTTTATTAAGTAAAAAAATATAATCTTTGGTTGGATCCCTTTCCCCTTTCATTTCTGTTTCCCCATAGGGATCCCATTCCCTGAGGGGATTCCATTCCTCATGGACATTCTGTTCCCGGTTTGATCCCATTTCCCGAAGGGATAACATCCATCTGTTGGATCTCATTTCGTGATGGAATCCATTTCCAGATGGGATTTCATTACCTGGTTAGATCCCACATTCCTGGTGGGATCTCTATCCCAGTGTGATCCCATTCCCTGATAGGATTTGTTCCCAGAGGGATCTCATTCCCCAATAGGGTACCATTCCCGGATCAAGCCTTTTAAATGATTGAACTTTCTGGAAAATTCTATACTGGCCCTGAATTGAGTGGGTATTATTCATTTTAAATACATCTATATTTCAATATGGCCTATGAAAGGTATACCTACCAAGCTTGGCCTAGATTCACATTGAACCTTATTCTGTTGTCTAAGCTTACTGGTATTTATATAGTTTATATTCGGAAAAATTAACTTGGGGCCCCAGTCCCAGAGGAATGGATATTATATGTGAAGAACCTACCATTATTTCAGTATGGATAATCCAGTTTATATGTACTAAGTATGGGTTAGATCCATCCATCCATGTACTAGCCTTTACTTGTGTTTTAAGTTATATAGCTCATATAAGAAACAAACCACTTTGCTGCCCCTTCCATGAAATAAGAACATTTTTAAGTTAAAAACCTATTGGGGTTTCCTTCTGGATAATGATGGAAGTGTGTCAGGTTTCGTCAAGATCCATCAATCCATGTAGAAACTTGTGCGGAATTAACTGGCATACAGACGATAAGCTTTCACCTATATTTACAAATAAATGATTTTGTTGTTGCTAGTGACACTCAATTAAATTTTGTCTTATAACATTTTCACATTGACGTTACCACTAACTGAAGTGATGTTGATTAAAATTAATTAAACATTTTTTTTTACTATTTTAAACTTTCAGATCAATGACATTTTTAATGCTGTGAACAGTATTTATGGAACTAGTCCAGTCATTTCTTGTGTTACTGATACAAAGGTAAGTCATGACTCAATGATGTTTGTGACTTAAGTCAGGGCTCAGTATTAACTATGACTTAAGTGAGGGCTCGTTTTTAACTACTAGAATATATTACCCGATGTTACCGGGATAAAAATGGAAGGCATTTAGTGATACTTTCTACCTGATATTGCGAAGTCTGATCAGAATTCCTTATTTTAAAAAGAAGTATCCATGTAATGATGTTTAAGTTTCTAACACCATTAACTTTTGAGAAATATTTATCTGCTATATAATTATATATGCTTACACTACCCCTTTTCGCACCCCTGAACTGCAATTTTTTTCTCTAAATGTTGTGAAAATGTAACCCAACTTTTGCCATGTTTTTCTTTTATGTTATCAGAGAATTAAAAAAAACAAAAAAATATTTTTTCTAAAGAAGAACCTCTTAACCCATTTTAACTTCTGTAACAGCCTTAAGTGTTTTTTAAAAAAAGAAATATTATTGATCTCATAAAAATTTGCACCCACTTTAATTTTCGCATAGTGGAAACAAAATTATGTTTTTGTATTTTGAAAGAAAATCTTGACCCATCTTTGTTCACGTCCATGAACTATAAAGGAAAAATTAATGGCTCTATTTTAAAAAATAAATTTTCAAGTTTGTAAAATGATTGGGTTTTGATATGTTTATTTGAGGTATGGTTATACTTATGGAAATGTACCCACTGTTTGTCAGCGCCATTGAGCTATATTTTCTTTATAGTTATGGCATATTAATTTTGTTAAAAGAGACTGTAACACCTTTTTTGTGTCTGCAGTATCATTGAATTTAAAGTTATTGTAATCAATGTAAAAATGTACACACCTTTTACCCTACCCTTCATATGTGTTTACGAAAGAGGGGTTAATTATTAATCAAAATCAAATTCATTCCTTTGTGCTGCCTGGGGCAAAATAAAAGTATCAAAATTCCCCCCCCCCTTTTTTTTTTTTAAAAATAAAAATTATTAAAATAATTCACAGAAAAATCAAATTCATTCCTTTGTGCTGCCTGGGGCAAAATAAAAGTATCAAAATTCCCCCCCCCTTTTTTTTTTTTTTAAAAATAAAAATTATTAAAATAATTCACAGGATCGTGGCCCCCTACAATAGAAGCCACACACTATTTTTTCCATGCCCCTGAATTTATTAAAATAATATTTCTCCGATCCCTTTCACCACGTAATGTATTATATGTTCTGAAAAATAGTTCTACACATAATTATGACATTGAAAGATTATTGTTATTTATTTTAACATTAAAATCTATACCTAAGTACAAAGCTCTATTATAATTGGGTTTTAAGATATTGATCTCAAAATGAACCGATTGCAACTTCATATGGTATTTGGATATGAAGTTTCGGGGACACTCATTGGCTTAAAATGCATTTTCCTTATTAAAAAAGTAATTTTAAACGTTATGTTTTTATTACTTTATAAATTTGATAAAAGTACATTTTTGGAATGAAAAATAAGTCAAATTTATTTAATGTTAAAAATACAAAGCCAAAATTTGTTGTGTTTATTTTAACAATTTAAAAAAGTAATCCATTATATTTATTAATTTTATTTCTAAAAAGGGAAAATGCATTATCTCTTTCACTTTTGTCACACGCCACACCCACACGGTTATTGAATCAAGCAAAATTAAAGCTTTTGATTTGCAAGTTTATAAAAATTAATCTAATTTTGCTTTATTTGAGTTCAATCGAAAATTTTAATTTGATATTGTTCGAACACATTTGTGTACTGTTACCGGTAACATAAATTTAAATTTAATTTTGCAATATTAATAACGCTATAAGAACAAAAACATACATTTGCGTATTCCCTATAAATATGATTAAGAAAAAATAATAGTATTACATAGATTATCATTTATTGATAATAAAAAGAATACCTTAAATTTCAAATTCGGATGAAATATTAAAACTGTACAGTTCATCAATCGTCATTTTAAATGTATTTCAAATTTATAATAATAATAATAATAAACATAAGCTTAAATGTAAGCAGAGAAATTCCATTTTTATCACATTTAAATTTATTCCATTGCCGTAAAAAATTAGAAAACCCCTATCGTTTATAAGCATCCGAGCGTATTTAAATTGATTCATTTTTTTAGTGTTATAAAGATACCTTAGCTCATTCTTACGTATAATATGACTTCTAGGGAACTCCTGGTGTAATTTACCATTGCAGGTCTCAATGGATTCAAACAAAAATGTTACTATTTAATAATGCTAGAAAGTGGTCAGAGTTACTAATAGGCTATAAAAGGATTTTGTGAGAATGACATCATAGTTACTATTGGCCCATTGGAACTGTCCAAATCGTTCATCATGGTTTCCATAAGGTAATATTGATCCTTAAACTGGCCATCATAATCAGTTTTATCTGAAAAAGAGCTGTCAGTTAGGATTATATTCATCCACACCACTTCCTACCACTCAGTATTATGGTGTATTTACATTTCACCCTACCGTCCCCTAATTTCTGTACTTCCTACGTTGTTAGGTTGGTTCCCTAATCTAATCAGGTTAATAGGCCCTACCCAGAGCAGTACCAAATCTTCTCTAATATGTGCCATGTATTTCATCCTAGGCCCTACCCAGAGCAGTACCAAATCTTCTCTAATATGTGCCATGTATTTCATCCTAGGCCCTACCCAGAGTAGTACCAAATCTTCTCTAATATGTGCCATGTATTTCATCCTAGGCCCTACCCAAAGCAGTACCAAATCTTCTCTAATATGTGCCATGTATTTTATCCTAGGCCCTACCCAAAGCAGTACCAAATCTTCTCTTAATATGTGCCATGTATTTCATCCTAGGCCCTACCCAGAGTAGTACCAAATCTTCTCTAATATGTGCCATGTATTTCATCCTAGGCCCTACCCAGAGTAGTACCAAATCTTCTTTAATATGTGCCATGTATTTTATCCTAGGCCCTACCCAAAGCAGTACCAAATCTTCTCTTAATATGTGCCATGTATTTCATCCTAGGCCCTACCCAGAGCAGTACCAAATCTTCTCTTAATATGTGCCATGTATTTCATCCTAGGCCCTACCCAGAGTAGTACCAAATCTTCTCTAATATGTGCCATGTATTTCATCCTAGGCCCTACCCAAAGCAGTACCAAATCTTCTTTAATATGTGCCATGTATTTCATCCTAGGCCCTACCCAGAGCAGTACCAAATCTTCTCTAATATGTGTCATGTATTTCATCCTAGACCCTACTCAGAGCAGTACCAAATCTTCTCTAATATGTGCCATGTATTTCATCCATCACATGGAATTAAACTATGATTGCCTACATTTCACAATACAGGAACATTACCTGGCTGAAATTTGGCTCTGTTTTGAGAAAAATTTGACCCGAGCAGACTGTGAAGAGAGTGCACAGTACCACGTGGCCAGTGACCAGCACAGGGCAGAGCGTCGTCCATACCTGAAGTTCCGTAGTGAGAAGGAACAAGTGGTCACCAAGGGAAAAAAGTTTGTTGATTGTCCATCTGATCTTGTCTGGTACAAGCCGATCACAACTATCTACTTGTAAAAGGAAAACCAGTGACATTTTATGTGTTTCTATGTTGAATGTTTCATTGATAAATGACTGGAATTTCTACACTATAGTTTTAATTGTAGATTCAATAAGATTCTATTATTTTTAAAAAAATCATTTTTCTTGAAAATTTAGCCATGGTATTTAAATCCTGGTTTAAGTTTAAACTACTTGCCAGTCAGTTTGGGAAATACTTTCATATATCAACCACCCAAAAGTTATTCCATTAATTTGGTGTGGTGGCAGGTGAATGGTACCAGAGAATTAATGGTGAAGCAGTCTTAGGACTCCTGGTTTTAGTGTTGGACCATGGTGGAGAGGGAAACTGGGGGTGGGGGAAAGGGAATATACAATACTTTTCAACTGTTTATTGGGAAGCATTAAAATAAAGCCAACATATAAACACCAACTAAAAAAGAATATGTTAAAAAACCCACTTATTATGTGAAGGAACTATGACCTAAGTGTATGAAGGAAATGACAGGTTATGAGTATGTCAGGTTACTGTACTTGTATCTGCCTCATCTTGTATTTAATTTTGTACAGTTTTGGTGCCTTAATAAATGCTGGAGAGTTTCAGTTGTTTTGGTTGAAATGGTTACTTGGCTGATCAAATGGTTACTTGGCTGATCAAATGGTTACTTGGCTGATCAAATGGTTACTTGGCTGATCAAATGGTTACTTGGCTGATCAAATGGTTACTTGGCTGATCAAATGGTTACTTGGCTGATCAAATGGTTACTTGGCTGATCAAATGGTTACTTGGCTGATCAAATGGTTACTTGGCTGATCAAATGGTTACTTGGCTGATCAAATGGTTACTTGGCTGATCAAATGGTTACTTGGCTGATCAAATGGTTACTTGGCTGATCAAATGGTTACTTGGCTGATCAAATGGTTACTTGGCTGATCAAATGGTTACTTGGCTGATCAAATGGTTACTTGGCTGATCAAATGGTTACTTGGCTGATCAAATGGTTACTTGGCTGATCAAATGGTTACTTGGCTGATCAAATGGTTACTTGGCTGATCAAATGGTTACTTGGCTGATCAAATGGTTACTTGGCTGATCAAATGGTTACTTGGCTGATCAAATGGTTACTTGGCTGATCAAATGGTTACTTGGCTGATCAAATGGTTACTTGGCTGATCAAATGGTTACTTGGCTGATCAAATGGTTACTTGGCTGATCAAATGGTTACTTGGCTGATCAAATGGTTACTTGGCTGATCAAATGGTTACTTGGCTGATCAAATGGTTACTTGGCTGATCAAATGGTTACTTGGCTGATCAAATGGTTACTTGGCTGATCAAATGGTTACTTGGCTGATTAAATGGTTACTTGGCTGATCAAATGGTTACTTGGCTGATCAAATGGTTACTTGGCTGATCAAATGGTTACTTGGCTGATCAAATGGTTACTTGGCTGATCAAATGGTTACTTGGCTGATCAAATGGTTACTTGGCTGATCAAATGGTTACTTGGCTGATTAAATGGTTACTTGGCTGATCAAATGGTTACTTGGCTGATTAAATGGTTACTTGGCTGATAAAATGGTTACTTGGCTGATCAAATGTTCACATCTGAATTTATGGTTGGTTTTAGATGGGACTTACATATTACCACATTAGATGGTTGGCTTATACATCTACACAAACATAATCTTTGTATAATCCCGATTAGATGGATGGCTTATAAATCTACACAAGCAATCTTTGTACACAAAGAGCCGATTAGATGGTTGGCTTATAGAAATATATACAATCATTGTAAACCACATGTTTAATGGGTTGGCTTATAGATGTATATACAATCATTGTAAACCACATGTTTAAATGGGTTGGCTTATAGATGTATATACAATCATTGTAAACCACATGTTTAAATGGTTTGGCTTACAGATGTATATACAATCATTGTAAACCACATGTTTAATGGGTTGGCTTATAGATGTATATTCAATCATTGTAAACCACATGTTTAATGGGTTGGCTTATAGATGTATATATAATCATTGTAAACCACATGTTTAATGGGTTGGCTTATAGATGCATATACAATCATTGGAAACCACATGTTTAATGGGTTGGCTTATAGATGTATATACAATCATTGTAAACCACATGTTTAATGGTTTGGATTATAGATGTATATACAATCATTGTAAACCACATGTTTAATGGGTTGGCTTATAGATGTATATGCAATCATTGTAAACCACATGTTTAATGGGTTGGCTTATAGATGTATATACAATCATTGTAAACCACATGTTTAATGGGTTGGCTTATAGATGTATATGCAATCATTGTAAACCACATGTTTAATGGGTTGGCTTATAGATGTATATTCAATCATTGTAAACCACATGTTTAATGGGTTGGCTTATAGATGTATATACAATCATTGTAAACCACATGTTTAATGGGTTGGCTTAGAGATGTATATACAATCATTGTAAACCACATGTTTAATGGATTGGCTTATAGATGTAAACAAACATGACTAATGTGCACAACTGCCATTAAGGGTTGGGTTCTAGAATGCTATGGTGATACATCCAGACACCAGAGAAGCTAGTGCTATGGTGATACAGCCAGACACCAGAGAAGCTAGTGCTATGATGATACAGCCAGACACCAGAGAACCAGAGAAGCAAGTGCTATAGTGATACATCCAGACAGCAATTAATACGAAGATCAAGAGCCATCAAGGGAGTAGCATTTTAATTTCAAAACATTTTAAAAAGAGTAATAAATGGTAGGACTAACTCCCCAATTAAAATTAGGAAAATTCTACAACCAAATATCGAAGCGGTCGATATATTTGATTGTAATAGGGGGGGGGGGACTGCAGTCAGGTTATCAATAAGGGAAATGAGTAAAACAAAATATGAGAAAACCTTGAAAAGAGAACGCAAGAAAACAACGAACGTGTCGACAGGAAGTCTTCGTCAGCGAACAAACAAGCAGAATTATTAGATGTTGCCTAATTTTTACAGTTTTGTGTCATTTTCGTTCAATATCTATTATGACGTCAGTATTTTTTTATCACGGTGTGAAGGCGCTTTGTTGGACCCAGTTATTTTAACATCCATTTAATTAACGAAGGGGGTAAAACAAATAGATAGTTTCAATAACATTTTTAATTCATCATTTTTATTGAGTAACAATTTGGAATAAAACTATTTGTATGATACTCCCCTCACCCCCCACCCCAGATCCTTCCTTTAATTTCAGCTCCACGTCCTCACCCCCCCCCAAAACCCCCATCAAAGTTACAGTTCTTCACCTTTGTACGCACTCAAATAAAAATCCGGGTGTTAGTATTTTTAATTCATCATTTTTATTGAGTAACAATTTGGAATAAAACTATTTGTATGATTCTCCCCTCCCCCCCCACCCCAGATCCTTCCTTTAATTTCAGCTCCACGTCCTCACCCCCCCCCCCCAAAACCCCCATCAAAGTTACAGTTCTTCACCTTTGTACGCACTCAAATAAAAATCCGGGTGTTAGTAATATTTTTTTTCTCTTTAAAACTGACAAAAATATCATTTCCTTACAATTTTGTAAAAAAAAAAAATACTGTGGCTATAAACAAAGCTGGGTGTGTGCCAAAACTAGGATGAATTCCGTTTATGTAGTCCGGGGGCCCGGGAGTGCCAGATTCGAAGCTGGCGCTGGGTGCCCTTATGCCTAATTTAGGCTTATATAGATGGATGGAATCACCCCCCCCCCCCTTTTTTTTTTCCTCGAACTCCAGAATTGCCCCCTCAGATCAAAGTCCCTAAAAAAAAAAAACACGAAATATATTTGAGCCTGTTTAAGCTTAGAGACTTACTATTGGCGAATGAAGAAGAGTTATTGGTGGTCGTTCCCAAACTGACCATTTTTTATAATGAGTTTTCTGAAAGTGAACATTTTAAATAACCAAATAGTGAGGCAGAAGGCATCTGAAAGCAGCAGATATTAATCTCAATAAAGCCAACATTTTTTTCTACAATATTTGAAGTTTTGTCTCTCACAGCTTCTCAAAACTAAACTTATAAAGGAACTATTTGCGATTTAACAAAACACTGTCCAGGCTTTCAGGCCTAGCGATTTTGGTAGTGGAAAGTGGTAGGTGGCGAATGTTGATATTGTTCAAATGATTGATGAACAATGTTGATATTGATAAAGTGATTGATGGACAATGTTGATATTGATAAAGTGATTGATGGACAATGTTGATATTGATCAAGTGATTGGTTGAGAATGCTGATATTGAGGAAGTGATTGGTGGAGAATGTTGATATTGAGAAAATGATTGTTTGAGAATGTTATTATTCATAAAGTGCTTGGTTGAGAATGTTAAAATTGATAAAAGGATTGGTGGAGAAGGTTGATATTGATAAAGTGATTGGTGAAAACGTTGATATTGATAAAGCGATTGGTTAAGAATGTTGATATTGATAAAGTGATTGGTTGAGAATGTTGATATTGATAAAGTGATTGGTGGAAACGTTGATATTGATAAAGCGATTGGTTAAGAATGTTGATATTGATAAAGTGATTGGTTGAGAATGTTGATATTGATAACGTAATTGGTGGAAACGTTGATATTGATAAAGTGATTGTTTGAGAATGTTATTATTGATAATGGGATTGGCTGAGAATGTTGATATCAATAAAGTGATTGGTTGAGAATGCTGCTATTGATAAAGTGATTGAGTGAGAATGCTGATATTGATAAAGTGATTTGTTGAGAATGCTGATATTGATAAAGTGATTGAGTGAGAATGCTGCTATTGATAAAGTGATTGAGTGAGAATGCTGCTTTTGATAAAGTGATTGAGTGAGAATGCTGCTATTGATAAAGTGATTGCTTGAGAATGCTGATATTGATAAAGTGATTGAGTGAGAATTTCGATATTGATAAAGTGATTGCTTGAGAATGCTGCTATTGATAAAGTGATTGAGTGAGAATTTCGATATTGATAAAGTGATTGGTTGAGAATGCTGATATTGATAAAATGATTGTAAAGGTGAGTTTCTTATGGTGAAGGTGAGTTTCTGATGGTCAAGGTGACTTTCTGATGGTGAAGGTGAGTTCCTGGTGGTGAATGGGAGTTTCTGGTGGTGAAGGCCAGTTTCCGGCGGACACATGGTTACCGTCAAATACAGGAGACTAGCCGAAGGTGTATACAATTAAAATTTACTGGTCCTAAATCAAGCCAAAGGGTGTAAAAGTATACAATTAAGATTTACTGGTTCCAAAGTATACAATTGAGATTTACTGGTTCCAAAGTATACAATTGAGATTTACTGGTTCCAAAGTATCTAAATGCGATGTTCCGATGGAAAGGTTTATAAGTAGGAATTACCAGTGTATAGGTTTACTATGACTCGTGAGACACGTTATGTAAAAAAAGACCTTAAAAGATTATAACAACCATACTAGGAAAGAATAGAAATGAAAATGAGGTTGAAATGAATGATGAATATTTTATTACGACGATAAACCCGCACAATCTTCCCAAACATTCACATGGAAACACAGAGCAGCGCGTGCACGAGCCACTACGGCAGCAGGAGTGAGCACTGTGCCTGGTAACCAAACAAGGCGAGGCGGTCGAGAGTGGGGTCTCGTTACCCTGGGACGGCTTAGTTGGAG